TCTGTCTGTCTGTCTGTCTGTCTGTCTGTCTGTCTGTCTGTCTGTCTGTCTGTCTATTTATCTGTCTGTCTGTCTGTCTGTCTGTTTTGCCGGTTTATCTGTCTCTTTTCCGACTGTTGAAAGTTTTTGTTTATCTTAAATTGACCACCTTGTCGATGACATTGGTTTGTTGGTCTGAAGTCATTCTGGGTTGGTTTGACTTTTGCTTGTTTCCATACTCAATGTTCCTGTCTCTTTCCCCATGTCCCCCTTTTGTTTACTGATATGTTTAACTATACCCTGTGAGTGGTTAGCGGGTGCTCCGATGTGTTTGCTCCTTCTTAGCAATCGAACATCTGTCGTCCTGATCTCTCCTCCATTATTTGTGTTTTGTTACTCTGTTGTAACACCCCTACTCTTCGGCACTTATGACCTTATTGTGTTGCGAGTGTCGTAAAACACTTACTTCAACTTAAACACTATCTATACCCCTGTTGTGTCAGTGTGCTTCTCTTCTCTTTATCTTTAAAAACAAACCGACAAACCAACAAACAAACATTAAATAGACATAATAAGATATCAATACATCAAACAAACAAACCACTTATAGTAATAGACATAATAATACATAAGTGAGAAACGCCAGATTTATCTGTAAAAAGCAGCCAGCATCTTCGATTGTGTTTAGTCGATAGAACTTAGTCTCGGCCCACCGATTCCCTTGGCATGATGGGACGTCACGCTCTGAGCGCGGGTCGATTGCCTGGTTGCCTGGCTGGGAATGCGACGGTGATCTCCCTTTAAGTTTATAATGTTCTCATCAATTGTCTTCTGTTTAACCTGCCCTCCGCTGGGAGACGCTGGGCGTAAAATGCTATTTCCGTGAATGGAGGCTTGAGTTAAGAAAGAAGGCTTGATAACGTCTTAAGTGGGTGTGTTATTTGAGTTCTGAAATGTTCATTCTTCTTATTATTAATGCCACAGCACCAGCCCCCTTTTTTTTTGGTTCCAAGAAAACAAATTTACCCCCCAAAAAAAAAAAACCCAACCGCTTTACTTTCTCTGCTAGTTGATAGTTGAAATGGGGCATTGGTTTTCACCTAAGCAATCCATGACAATTCCGTCTGGGTGTGTCCACCAAAATGGCTCAACACATAACAAAAAACTGGTGGGTTGGAATGTCCCATGCAGCATTTCAGTTTGGCCGTGTGGTGACTCATCAGCCATAGGCCCAGCCAGAACTAATAAACAAAAATTAATATATTCTAATTTTCAATTTGGATGGTGTGGTCGCTTGTTACGGAAGTGCTTCCTTTTTAAAAATTAGGCCTACCTGTTCTAAGGTAGGCCAACAATACCAAAATTATTTGAAAATAGTCTTGTTTTAAAGACAGACACCGAATGTTGACCTAGGCTCTGGCCACACTGATTGAAGCAGAGCGAACACAGCAGAGCGCGACAGTGAAAATACAAAGACAGACTGAAAGAGGTGACTG